ATAATACAGCATGAAAGGCGGAGCGCACTGACATCATGCGGGTAGGTTGAATAAGTAAAAAATAATAACGAATTAATAATAACAATATCAAAAAAAATTTTAAAAATAATAATACAGTTATGGGACATGTGTGACAAGAAGTCTTATCAAGATTGTGTAATCTTGTATATTACTGTTTTATCAAATATGGTCTCTCATCGAAAACGAATGTTTTTCTGACAAGAAATTAATTTCGTATGAATAAACCAGCAGAAGCTCCCACTCCAATGCTTAATAAATAGTGATGGGTACGCTAGTGAAAAAGAGCAACTCTGCTAATCGCTAATTCGCTAAAAATATTTTTGTTTCGCTAAAAGTAACTCGCCATTAGCGCCACCGACGAAAAAGCAGCAAAAACTTTTCGCTGAAAGTGGCGCTAACCGCAAAAATTAGCGACAGTTTTCGCAAAAACGCCACTTGTCAAAATTAGTCCACTAATCGTTACTTTCAAATCTTCCTCCATGAATTACAATCACGCTGCTGATTTGCTTGAAAAATAAACCTCATTAAGCCATTACATAGTCAAAAATGTTCATTTGATCACTCTGTAACAAAACGAAATAAGTAGCTATAAGAACAAACTTCAATAATGAGAAAATAATCAAACAAAGACAACAAAATTCAAAACTGAAAATCAATCAAATGGCAGTAGCCCTCTTTGCACTTTTTCATTTCGTTTTAAGAACATCAACATGATCAGCATTTCATCTAAAATTCTGGATCGTTTGAGTCTTCTTGTATCGCCTAGCTCAGTCCTTCTATGATGAAAATCAGCGACCACCACATCTATACATAGAAGAGATTCGAAAAGGAATCCACAAAACTACCATCTCCTTTCAGCCAGAAGGGCAGACTGCAGTCGTCAGTAAGGTGAAATATTGGGAAGTTTCGAATCACATTTTCGAGTTGTTGTGAGATCCAAAGAATAAAGACCACAGGGCTTTTTAATTAATTATAAGGATATCAAGTGAACATCCTCTCTGCCGAATTGTCACGAATTCAAGGGAAAATCTGGCTCACAATCTCAAAAGTTGCAAACAAAAAATTGGATTTCTCAGTTTTTTTTGTGCAGCTAAATAATTACTTAAATTCGAGAATAACGGTTATATATAATACACATTTTTTGTAATCAATAGACTTTTCAATGGTTTTATGAATACCTTCTGGAATCAAAGTGGAAAATCATGTTTATTTTTGTGAATTATCAACACGTTATGAAATATATTTGATTTTAATTGTTGATATCAACACACCTCAGTGCCGAACTCCAAAGTCAACAAATTTTTACTGCTTGTCATTACTGGCTTTTAAAATACAAAATTTCAGTGCATTACTTTATCAACTTCGAATTTTCGATCCAATTCCTACCGCTCTATTCAGTCCTTCGAAGATCTCCTGTTATGATCCAAAAGCAACCAAATTTTGGAACAATACTTTTAGCAGGCAATAATTTTCCATTCCATTTAAATACCGATCTGTGCAACAGCGCAGTCGCTAACGCGAATTGAAAACCACTTCACAATTATTCAAATCGTCGATTCCTTTCGTAACTCAGTGATAATATGAGCCTATCTATACTGCCAACATGCAATACTTTATTAGTTAATATGGCATTTTTACGAATAAAATTGTGAAATAACGCTGAGATACGCATTTTCAAACAACAACACGAAGAAGAGTGGAGATAGAAGTAATAGCAATAGTGATAATAGTCATAGTAACAGTTATAGTAAACAGTACCCAGAATGACCAAATAATGCGTAGAAAAGCGACACGATTTCGATGCAGTGCGTCAGCTTCAGTCGCATGAGTGTATCGATACTCCTGAGGCTGAAGGATCAGTACGGATACGTTAACGTAATAAATGCTCATTAACACCACATCAGATCAACGGTCGAAAATAGAACGAATCATATAGTTCGAATCGGAACAGAAAACTGATTCAGAATCGATGAAAAAATCCAGTCAACGTAAAAAATTTCGAAACTTATAAACATTACTGCTGCATTCAACCTTGAAACACAAATTCTCTGTTTATTCCAACAATTCCCTTTCATTGCCTTTTTAGGCAGCATTTACGTATGAATCTGTTATTCCATGTCGACATTCCAGTACTTTTTTCTGCGCCAAATTCAGTGGAAACCTTCTGCTGCAATTATGGCCATTTCGACCTCATTTATTCAAGCATTAACAGAGCGGTAATCTGTGAAATTTTGGGAATGAATGCAGTGGCAAATACATTTCAAATTTTCTTATGCGCACCCCGAAACAAGCTTCAAATCAAAAATAGCAGCTGAACAGAAGCATCGCACCAACCCCAGAGTGAAATGTATGACCGCGCCACAGTTGAACATAATCAATTATTTAACAGCGATGAATGAGAACATAAGGAATAAACACTATGAACATAAGGAATCGCGTATCGCAATCATTTCGACACTGTGCGAAGTGGTCAGTCTGCCTCGAATGTAGAGAAACCGTTCTCATCTCATTCCGTCTCGGTTTTTCAAATCAAAGCGACTCATAATGAGATCGTTGATCGTTGTTCCCATATCCCTTGCAGAGACACGAAATTCATTTTCAGACGTAAACCTCCACATCAACAAACAATAATCAAGTGCAATCAAGCAGGCCTCTATTCAAGGCTGTATATCCGCATAGGTTTGTTGCAAAGATGTACGCATCGTTCGAAAAAGTAGACAACTACTTTCATCATTTCAGTACTATTGTCCTGTGAACGATTCCCAACCTTTTGGAATTTTAAGGAACTGATTTTAACACGAAAAAGTTCAACCCTTCTCCCTAGTGGCGAACATTGACGACGCTGAACTAGACATGTGGTACATCTGGGAAGTATCAAAGTGGGAAATACTATTAAAGATTTATCGTTTCGATGATTATCAGAAAGAGACAAAATTGCAATAAATACTTCATAATCCATAGTTCGACGGTCTTATCTGAACTAATCTGAATCGAAACAAAATACTAATCTGAACCGAAAAAAACAAAATACTAAAACAAACATCAATATGAGTCAGAGCAAGAAATAAAGAAAATTAAGTTACAAATCAACGACGAAACACGGAACGCTCAGAACTGGACTGCTAAATGAATGAGAAATTTCAACTGGAATCCAAGAATCAAGAAGGCTGATGAGAACAGAACATTCTTCGTTGATTCCTCATGACGTCGCACAAGACTTTTTTACAATGCATTGATACCACTGATTTTTGCTGGAGAGAAATGGTTTTTTGAAATCAGATTCCATTTAATAATAATATCAAATACCTTCCGTACTAAGCAATCATCGCTAAATGATAGGAACGTCTGCCCGGCACAAATAAAAAGGTGGTTTGGAATGATACGTTCAAATAAGAATGCATCAGAAACATATACAACTGTTTTGAACACTTCATAAAATAAATTGTCGAACGTTCCAAACAGTCCTTTACCGTTGATACTGAATGCAGTCGCAACTCGTTTGCATCGGTGGTTTTCGAAAGTAATGTCTCAAAGAAACGACCAATTCATCAATGATGTGAGAGGTGAAATAAGCAAAGATCTACTGAGAACGCGTCGTGCCAAAAATGTAGGCTTTAATTTCAGCATCGGCTACCTACTAAGTTCATTTAAATTTTTTGTCATCCCGCAAAATTCTCTTGAACCAGCAGAGCATTTTCTCTTTATTCGTTCGATGCCCTTGCGATAAGAACATACTAATACTCCCCGTTCAAAATTGAAAAATCATCCAGTTAGGATTATGGGATGAAGCAAGTTACGGTAAATTTGGTGTCCTTTGAAAATATTTGAAACTCTGGCTAGAACAGTATCGAATATTACTGACTGGGAAGATGTTCGGAGCTTGAGTGTAAGTATGGCCAAAAGGTCAAAACCAATTAGTAGTCTAAACCTAGGTTAGTCTAAATTTAAAGTCTAGCCTGGATCTAAACTAATCCGAACTTTGATTTGTCGACACTTTTCTATCAGCCCCAAATTTACTACTACTGCATTCCTCCACTTTTCCCTCCTTAACTGTAACAAGTGTTTGTGCTGTAAACTGAAGAGAGGCAAGCGCACGCGATTCATCAATCTAAACATTTTATAGAAGGTCATTTGAATGCAGTTATCAAAACTATCTTTTCAAGAAGTTCAGCGAGAAAATGTGAGGCAATCGACTTATGCCACGAGCAAATATTGTCATTGAAAGTGAATAAAACAAGAATTGGAGCACTCCAAGTATTGTTCCGATTGTCAGGCGTTAAGACTGAACTGCAGCCGTGTGTGGCCGAACATCACTTCTGATGGCTTCTGCAGACAATGGTGATGATACCGGCCCTGACGAGCTGGAGCGAGACGACTGAACAGTTTGCCCTGAATGATGCGCGAGTAAGGTTCATTATAAACCACGCTTACACACTGTAACTGGCTTCGTATAATGAATAGACATTGTAAAAATGAGCGAAATCTCCGACTATTTAACTTCAAGTAAAGTTATATTCAAAATTCTTAAGGACGTAATCGAACCCTCACCATTATCACTGCCTCCGAAATCTACAGGACCATCATCGAGTAATTTTTGCCGATTCTTCGATCGCATCAGATTCCTCTCTTTGACTTTGTATTCGAGTGTCGAATGCGGTACACCATAAAAACTTCCGGCTCTATGCACGGACATCTCGCCACGTCTTACCGATTTCACTG